AATTGATGGCAAACCAATTGACATAATTGCACTCACCAGGTTGTGCCAAGAAATCTGGAGGACAACCACCTGGCCAACTGTAAGAAATACGTATTTATTCCCATTCCAAAAAAAAAGTGACCCGACAGTGTGGGGAATTTATGGAAAAGTATCATTAATATCACATGCAAACAAGATCCTGCTGAAACTGATCCAAAAATGACTGGAATAGCACATCAACAGAGAACTGTCAGAAATGCAGTCTGGATTTTGAAGGCTGTGGCATTGGAGACACTGTAGCAATTTAGATGGATCCTAGCTGAAAGCAGAGAGTACCAGAGGAATGTCTGTGTTTCAGTGACTATGCAAAGACATTTGATTGTGTGGATCAAAACAAACTGGGGATAATTCTGAGAAGAAGAGGAAACCCAGAATACTTGATCGTGCTTATGGGAAACCTATACTTGGACCTGGAGGTCGTCGTCAGAACAGAGCAAGGAAACACTGCATGGTCAAAATCAGGAAAGGTGTACACCAGGCATGCATACTATCTCCATACCTTTTCAATCTGGAGCAGATCATCTGGGAGGGTGGAACCTATGAGGAGGAATGTGACATCAGGACTGGCAGAAGACTCATCAACAACCAGCATTATGCAGGTGACACAACCTTGCTTGCCCAAACTGAAGAGAACCTGAGACATTTGCTGCAGAAATCAAGGACTGCAGCCTTCAATATATATTGACGTTCAACATCAAGAAAACAGAGATTCTCACCACTGGGCCAATTGGCAACATCATGATAAGATGGTGAAGAGACTGAGTCTGTTAAGAGCTTCCACTTGCTTGGCTCCACAATAAATACTCTTGGCACCAGGAGCCAGTAAAGCAAAGGACACATTGCATTTAGGAAATCTGCTGTCAGGGACCTCTCCAGATTACTAAAGAGGAATGATGTCAGTCTTGAGACTAAGGTGCTCCTGATCCAGGCCATGATCTTTGTAATTACTTGCTATGCGTCATAAAGCTGGACTAGGGATGATAGAGAGTTGATGCCTTTGAGCTGTGGTACTGAAGAAAAGTATTAAAGATACCACTGAATATACCAAGAGAACAAACAAGTCTGTCCTGAAGAGTGTGAAACCAGGGTGTTTCATGGAAGGCAGGGCTTTTGAAGCTCCTTCTGACTTACTTTGGGCATGTTGCAGGGAGCGGCCAGTCCTTAGAGAAGGACATTATACTTGGAAGGGTGGAGGGAAAATACAAGAGAGGAAGACCCTGGATGAGATAGATTGACTCAGTGACTAGATTAATTGGGATAGGTGTGTCAAAGACAATGGAATTGGCTAGTATGGAGCAGGGTTCAGAGCTGTTGCACATAGGGTCGCTATGAGAATTGTGTGATGCAGGAAGCATCAAAAGAAGATGGAAGGAGAACATACAGAGAGTGGCTGCATCAGAAAGAATTGGTTGACCCTCAACCATTTCAGGAAGGTTGCAGATGATCAAAAAAGCCAGTGTTCCTCAAAGAAGTTCAAGCTGCAGATGTTTTTCTCTTTCATTTAATGTGAGACAAATTACACACACAGGAGCGCACAAAGCTAGTCATGTCCTCCAAGGTCTCGTTGCCATCAAGTCATAACTTACTCCTAGCTGACCTTCCATTGGGTTTCTGAGGCTCAGTCACACTGAAGGAGACTGCCCATCTTTTCATGTGGATTGGCTGGTAGATTCGAACTACCATAGAAGTACAGCCTTTGGGTTAGTAGTAGTGGCAACTCCCTATGGAGTTCATATCCAGGTTGAAGCATTATATCATAAAGTTCTGTGTAATCAGTGCTGGTCAAGAAGCAAACTAATCCCAAAGCTCTTCACACCTATCCCATCACATTTTCCTTCTTCTGTAAAAAAGAACCTCTTCTGTGATAATCATATCCCTTCAACTCCATGGGTTTACTGTCTGTGTGTAAGGGTTTTGAACTTTATATAAAGGAACCACACTGTATATACATTCTTTCAGACTTGTTGCTTTCCTTTAACTTTTGTGAAAAGAATCTATTCTGCTGAGTGTTGTTTTAGGGCTTTCCTCCAACTGTTATAATATTCCACTATGCAACTGCCTTAATTATCCAATGGTGATGTAACAGAAATACCACAAGTAGGTAGCAGTCTAGAAGTTAGAAAGCCAAGTTCAGGGCAGAAACTGTAGGCAACATTTCTCTGTCTCAGAGAAAGTCCTTAGCAATCATGTACCTTTCCCTCAGTGTCACTAGGTTGTTGGTTTTATCTGCAATTTTATATCTCAAAAGGAATTGATGTAAAATATGCCCTACACAAATACTGCCTACAGGTTATAAAGTTTAGATTACAACCTATATTTTGGGAGGGGACATAATACAGAACGACAACCAATCCACAATTTTTGTTTTTTAATCTATTTACTGCTGATAATGGTGGCTAGGTGACTCAGCAGGAATCTGTAAGATGGGCGCGCTTGCATTGGTTGAGGGTCAGGTGGAATGTCTAGGGTTTTTTAATTTAAACCTCTTGTTTAATGTCAACAAGATATCCTGGAGAGCCCTCAGGCCTCATTTATTATATTTTGGAGGAATATTCTTCTATGTTGTACGGCACTATTCTGTCAATTAGCTTACTGAGGTTATCTGGGGTTGCTGTGATTCTGAACCTTGTGCCCTTGGGGGCTTAGATGCCATAACGGTTGCCCATGGTGGATAGTGTTTGGTGGAGCTCCCAGTTTAAGACAGGTTTAGAAGCAGGAGTGGCATCCACTTCCTAAACCACATGCTTCCGGAAACTCTATGAACTTGGAGAAATGACATTCCAGAAAGGCTTCAGGTCTTTTGTTCATAGGGTCGCTGTGAGTCAAGCTCGACTTGAAGACAGTCAACAACAATGTTGATGACAGAGCTCTGTTGTCCTAGTGGTAAGAAGCTGCCCTGCAGTCCCAAAGGTACATGCCTTTGAACCTACCCGCTGCTCCACAGGAGGATGGACAATCTCCTCCCCATGCAGTTTGCTAACTCTGAAAACATGGGAGGGTCAGCTATGGGTCGGTTCCAACTCCATGGCACACAACAATGATGATGAACATTTCTTTTCCCATTTTGGAATCACAAAATTGTTTCCATGAACATTGTTTCCTTCTCTGAAACATTTAATACGGATCAATGAAAATCTGTGGGTTTTGAAACTGAAACTAGTTTGCACAAAGGAGATTCAGAGGAGGAGGTAATAGTTGAAACCATGTAGTGTTTTTCTTTTTTAAAAAAATACTTTATTAATTTTAATGAACATTTACAGAGATTTTGGATTTCCATTCATTCATTGTTGCATTTCTCTCCCTGTCCACCCCTCCCCCACTCCCCCCAGTTCACTCTTCCCTTTGAAAAGTAAAATTCCCTCATTGGTATACAATCCTCACCCACCTCCCCGGGTACACTCCACTATGCAATCTTCATTCTGGACTCTTTGTCTTAACCATAATACCCCCAATCATATATCACTTTTAAACTGTTCTCTCCCGCATCTGTTTCAATGCAGTATACATAATTTATCCAATTTTTCTGTCTCACCCCAACCCTGATGTCAGTCCCGTTCTGTAAGAGTCTACTATGCAGTATTTGTCCTTTTGTGACTGAGCTATGCAGTATTTGTCCTTTTGTGACTGAGCTATTTCACTCGGCATAATGTCTTCCAGGGTCACCCATTTTGAATATTGCATGAGTTCCTTCTTTTTCAATGCAGCATAGTATTCCATTGTGTGAATATACCACAGCTTCTCTATCCATTCTCTATCCATCAAAATTCTCTGGAGAGAATGTAGATTTGGAGATTTCCAAGTCCAGCTCAAAACGGTCAAGTGAGAACCCACAGAAATTAGTTCTGGACAGCTGTGTTCCTATAAGCTACCCACCTTCCATGGCTTTAGGTGGTTCACCAGGGCTCTACCTTTTGTAGATGTGATGGGGAAAATGGTCAGTGGTCAGCACATTTATGAGTTAGGAAATGTTGAAAGAAAGGGTAGTGTCTTCATCCCCCCAGTCAACTTTGCTTGGTGTATCAACATTTAAATCTTTAATCAAACACCACCCCTCAGCTCACATGCAAATGGACATCCCAGAATGCTTGCTTCCCTCACCCCAGCTCCAGCTCTATTCTTACCCACTGCAAACACTGAGAAAATTGAAAATCTCATTTTCAGTAACTTATCTGAACAAGGTATCTTTTTTTAAAATACTTTTTTTCTGTGTAACTTTTTAGGGTCTTTAATGTTTTGAAAGTGTGCAAATAAGTACCCAGTTTTTTTCCCTTTCTTACAAATAATCTTATTTGGGAACATCTATTAAGACAAATGTTTTCCCAAAGCATAGTATTTGGATTTCACTGACCTTGTAGCACTTTGGGAGAAACTGCCTCTAAATATGTACAGAAATTATCTGGGCAATACCCTCTACCTCTGGTAGGATTAGGTGTGTTGATCTGGGTTCAGGTGTACCTTCTGGAGATAACAGGAACTATGGCTATTGCAGTTCTGGTGACCAAGTGGTAAGGAATTGCAGTTAACCCTAAGATAGCTGATCCATATTCAACAGCTACCCTTGTGGCTATAATGAACAATCTCCAGTACATTTCATACCCTATGAAAACTCCCTGGAGGTGCGGCAAGGAGTACAAGGCCCACAACAACATAGCTATGGATACAATGCTTGTGAAGAAAATGACACCGAGAAGCAAAGTAACTGCTATAAACTCTCTTTCCATTGAAATAGGCATTGATGTTGAAAGTATTTTTTAGTCAAAATGTATGGATATTTTTATTATACAACTGAACGTCTATGTAAAAATGTGTGTAAACTATAGGTTTTATACAGGAACCAACCCAAGCTGCTATGCAGTATGATGCTATTTTCAGTCTGTCTTTTTTTTTTTTTGGTTACTTACTCTATTATTGAACTCTGGTGACTTTGTTTTTAAAGTAACTTTCTTTCTTTTATTTTATAGATAAATGCAGAAGGAACACCTGAGGATGTTTTTCTTCAAGTTTGCACAGCCATTGAGTCTATTCTCTGAAGGCAAAAATACATGAGTGTGTATGTTAAAAAGAACGGAGACAGAATATTAAAGGTTGATCTCTTAATTCAGTATGTCTCAACTTAAACCTTTTGCGTCTTCTCAAATCTTAACATCACTGTTTCCCAGCCTGACCTGAGAAGTATCTGGAAAATCATGCATGGTGTATTTGGTACTGTCAGATGTTTTCTTCTGCATTTAGACAGTTGTCTGTATTAACAGCACGCTGTTTTTCTATCCTAACATTTGCCTTCAGAGCTCAGTAGCATGTGAACAGCAGTGCAGTGCCAACCTCACCAGTTGTGTCCCAAGGACTTACTGGAGCCTGATCTGGTTCTATTGTCATCAGTTTGCCCCACAAACTCTGTCACATCTCCCTTCCTCGCCACAGGATTTATGTGTTGTTACCCGAGTTTCTTAATGAGGGGTAGTCTTTTGGTGGCTGGTTGCATCTGTTTCCTCAGCTCTCAGTTATTTGTGGACACACAAGATTTGAGTATGCTCCATAGTTGCATTAAGCAAGTACATTTTTATAAAGGGACTGTGTAAAATTTTATCACTTTTGCAATAGCAAAACCCAAATCACAGTATTTCTCCACTCTCTTTAAGAAACTTGTTACTTGAAGCATTGTCACATGAGGAAGAGAACAAATAGCAAAAATTGGGTAACCTGCTATCTTCTATATAATGTGGTGCATTTCAATAATTATAAATACAAATGTCCTAAAAAAATTGAAAGTAAGAGGAATCCTATTTATTGGACAAATTTCAACTTTCATATTTAAAGGATAAGTTTATTATCTTTTATAGCTTTTGTTTACTTATCATTGCCAAACAAAAACATATGGTAATTACAAAACTAATGTGAGGGCATGCGAATATGTGGTCTTTAGCTGACTACAGTGTTGTATTTGTGTGAGAATCCTTTCCAAATTATGGCAGACCTACTCAAACCCATAAGTAAAACTGTTTCCTTGCATCAATCCCATGAAGTTTGAGCTTTCTTTTGTGTTATCAGTTGCTAAATCAGAACATATTATACTAATGGAGTAATTGTATATTCCGCTAAATAAAAGGCCACTGACTCAGTTTGCATGATTTTTTTTCTTCAATGGTTGTGTAGAAAAGAAACCATTTCTGAGACAAAACTGTATTTTTAAAGTCTTTATTCTTGAAATGGGTTATGTATAAATAAAGTAAACTGAAGACAGGATAACTTTTTTCCTATTTATTTCTAATTCACTTCACTCTGAAAAGCATTTGAATCTTACTGCAGAAAGAAATTGAGGCAAATGGACTAATAGGTTTATTATTTGTCCATATAATCTTAATTTTGGCTATAAAGCAATTTTGAGTTATTACAGGGAACTGTTCAGTGTACCAAGACATCCAGTAATTTACATGGTTTTTTCTCTAGTAGATAAATTATCTATAAACAGATACGAATGTTTGCTAAAGAAAAAGTTTGTTTCATGGACTACAATTACAAAAAAGGGTCATGTTCTTACAGCTCACTCAGTCGTCAAACTATGCAGCTGTTAAAATAAAGGATTTGAAAACTCTCCCCAGCTGTCATATACTCTATGGGGAGTGTAAGGAGTTATGTGTCGTTCAGTTGACTATGACGTGTACTGACCCTATGAACAACAGATCTTAACTCTCCTATACTGTGCCATCCTCGTCATCTGACATACTTAACCGCACTGCTGCAGTCACTGTGTCATCCTCTTTGTGGGTCTTCCTCTTTCACTGACCCTTCACTTTTCCTAATGTCCGTCTTCAAATATTAGCCCCTTCTAGTAACATGTCCAAAGTATGTTAAATGAAGCTTTACTGTGCTTGCCCCTAAGGAACATTGTGGCTCTTCCTTCAAGACTTCTGGCAGTCCAAAAGTGTCAAAACTCTTTTCCAACACAACTCAAAAGAATCAGTTTATCTTTTGTCATCCTTATTCATTGTCCAGCTCTCAGACACTTAGCAAGTGAAAGAAAAGATCATGGCCTGAATCAGGTGCACCTTAGTCTTCAAACTGACATCACTGCTCAATATTTGGAGAGATCCCGGACAAAGACTTTCTCAATGCATTCATCTTAATTCATTCACTGCTGGCGCCAAGGCTGTTGATGGTGGATCCAAGTAAGATGAAGTCACTGAATTTCATCCTTTTCTCCATCTGTCATGATGTTGCCTATTGACCCAGTGCTGAGGATGTTTGTCTTCTTGATGTTGATACAATCCATACTGAAGAATATACTGTTCTTCTGCAGCAATTGTTCAAGTCCTCCTCACTTTCATCAAGCACAGACGAGTCTCCCTCCTATCTTGATGCCATGTGTTTCTTCAGAGTTATTAAGCCAATTTAAAAACCAGCATTTTAAAGTTACCTAGTGCACTTCTATAGAAATAAAAGTGGATGGTTTTAACAAATAGAAATTTCTCAATTTAAGAGTCTGGATGTCACAATTTAAGGTGCCAGCTCTGGAGGATTCCTCTTATTGATTCTAGTGAAAGATTCTTGTGACTCTCTGCTTACTCTTTTAACTCTTTATATATCAAAAGACTGGATTTACACTAACCCTGTCTCATTTTTACAAAATTAGCTCATTCCCAAGTAAAATTATAATTGTAGCCACAGATTTTGGAATTTTAAACACATTACTTTGGGGGACACAACACACCCCTTAACATTCCACTCTTTCATATTCTACACACCGTTGCCACATTGTTGTTACATGCCGTCGAATACGACTCAGCAACCCTATCCCGCTCTATCTTGTGCCCTCCCAACACTTCCTGACATAGAAGAGCCCATTGCTGCAGTTACCGTGTCAATCCACCTGGTTGAGGGTCTACGTCTCCTTTGCTGACCCTCCACCCTTCCCAGCATCATGCCTCTCTCCAAGGAATAGCCCCTCCTAGCAACATGCCCAAAGTCTGTGAGGTGAAGCCTCATCTTTCCTGCCTTCAAAGAGCATTCCAGCTGCACCCTTTCTTTCTTTTTTTTTTTTTTTGCACCCTTTCTAAGACATATCAGTTTGTTTTCTTGTTGTCCATGAGATAGATGTTCAGTGCTCATCTCCAACACCACAGCTCAAAGGTGTCAATTCTTTTCCTGTCTTCCTTATTCATGTCCAGCTCTCAGATGCATACCAAGTAATTGAAAAGACTATGGCCTGAATCAGATGCACCTTAGTCATCAAACTGACACCATTACTCCCCAATAATCTGGAGAGATCCCTAAATGGAGATTTCCCAGTGCAATGTATCTACGAGCTTTTGCCGCATATAACACATTAACCCCATCACATCATCCCAAAAGTATCTCCAACTCCAAAATTTCATCTTCTGAATTCTCAAAATCAAATAGGATTGAGACTAGGGACATATTTTTTGAGGCAAAACTGTTCATCTATGAAACACAGTTTTCGTTTCCGGCTAAGGAGTAGAACAGAATAATGTTACCATTTCCATTTTAAGTGGGAGAGAATGGAGGGCAACAAAGGGCCCCAAGCAAATCTAAAACCTAGAGAACAATTATTTTTCACAGACTGAAAATAATCTTCATCTGAGACAATCCCGCCAGTGGCCATGTCCTATGGATTGACTGGGGACCCCTTTGCTTTTGGGCTTCAACTTCCCTTTCTATGCCTACTGAAACAGCAACTCTGCACCCTCAGTTTTGACCAGGCCCATTCTCCTGGTGAACTGAGTGGCACCTCCTGTGCCCTGGGCCCAGCAAAGGTGCAAGCCTTTGGGCAACAGCTCCATCCTGTTGCTAAACTGGCAGCCTCATGCTCCAGACCAGCTGACAAAGATTTGACTCTCTGAAATCTAAGAGGCTGAGGCTTTATCCTTTAACACTCTATAGAGGCTACTGCCCGACCCTTTGAGACCAAAGCAGATCTGCTCCCTATGCTCTTAATCATTCCGGTGTTCTCAGCTGCTCCTGGGATGGTCCTTGGTCTTTCTTGGAAAAGAACAGATGTAGTCCCTATGGCATGTTTCCAAACAGCAGGCAGCATTCTCCTCTTACATCCCTTCTCTGTCTCTTACGGCTTAAGTTTGCGGGCTATCTCCAGCTGGTTAGATTCATCAGGCTTAATTTCAATAAAAGATTGTATATATAGTCTTTTCTCCATCTTTTGATTTTCATTTTCCCCGTTTAATTTTCCATCTTTCTCTTGAATGTGCCTATAAACAGTAAGGACAAACTGTGCATCTTACTACAATAGGCAGCTAGGAGACACTGCTTAGAATCTTAGATAACTAAAGTGCATAATTTATAAATTTTACCTTCCCGCAAACATCTGAACAAAATTCAAAGATGAGTTCTTTGCTCTTAATCCATTATCCACCATTTTCTTTTAAAGCTTCATGAAAAGCTTATTTAGTTGCTAGGAATGTGAACATTTCTAGCAACAATCTGGTTTTAGTGGCTAATGTATATTCTCTAATGCTACAGATTTTCTCAAGCCATCCTTCCAAGCCTGCACTGGAATTATCTTTGCTGTTCATAATCCTACCCACAATCTTTGTAAAGCAATCTAGACCTTGACTACTAAGCACCTTAAGGCTTTCTGCCTCTGCTCGTTTTACCCAGTGCCAAAACTGCTACCACATTTTAAGTATGTCTTAGAGTGGGAACTCAATACCAAACCAAATTCTTCGTTATCTAGTGCTGCTGTTAACAAACCACACGTAAAAGGATTTAACTAATAGGAATTGGTGCTCTCACAGTTTAGGTGATAAAATGTTCAAATTCAAAGGACTGGCTCTAGAGAAAGGCTCACACTCTCTCTGCTCTAGAGGAAGGACCCTGTCTCATTTGAGCATCTCTGCTCCTCAGTGACCTTCAATCTTCACATTACTGACTTCTGGTTTAACCCGTATAAAGTTGTTATGAGTCAGAATCAACTCACAGCTGATCCTCCAGCAAGTTTTCAGAGGCTGTTAAGTTTTACAAGCTATTGTCCTTCTTTCTCCCACATATATATATACAC